TAAAGGAAAGAAGGAGGAAGTTGGCAATGCTTTGGTGAATATATCTGCCAACTGATGATACGATCGTATTAGCAATAATTTGATGAAACCATCGGCAACCTTATCACGAACAAAATGACAATCAATCTCAATGTGTTTCGTTCGTTCATGAAAAATAGGATTACTAGCAATGTACAGTGCGACTTGATTATCATAAAAAATCAAAGCTGGAGACGTTGGAGAAATCTGCAAATCAAGAAGCAAACTAATGTATCCCTATTAACTCACTGGCAGTAGCTGCTAGTGCTCGATATTATGCCTCTGTAGATGATCTAGAAACTGTTTGCTGCTTCTTAGCTTTCCATGAAATGAGAGAGTCACCAAGAAATACACAGACACCAGTGATAGATTTCTTTAAATTGGGGCATGAACCTCAATCCGCATCAGCAAATGCACGAAGTTGCAGAGATGAGGAAGCTGAAAAGAACAAACATTGACTTGGAGTTGACTTAAGAAACCGTAAGAGGTGGTGAGCTGCATCAAGGTATGGTTGACGAGGTTTGGAGACAAACTTGCTAAGTTTGTGAACTGCAAAGGTGATGTCTGGATGAGAAATAGTTAAGTAGAGCAAGTGGCCAACAAGTCTTCGATAGGATGAATCATCAATACCAGCTAGCAAATCCCCATCATCTGAATTTAATCAAATCTTAGGATCGATAGACAAATTAGCTGGTTTGCAAGCTAGAAATCCAGTGTCTTCTAACAATTGCAATGTATAATTTCTCTAAGATAAACATATCCCTTTTATGTGATCTTGCTATTTCCAAGCCAAGGAAATACTTCAATTTTCCCAAGTCCTTAAGCTTGAACTGACTATGCAAGAATAATTTGAAAGAGGCAATGACATTGTGATCAAAACCTGTGATTATAATGTCGTCGACATAAACCAATAAAGCAACAAATGAAGAGCCTGAACCCTTTATAAACATATAATAATTTGACTTAGATTGACGAAAACTATGTACAATGAGAGCTTGGGAAAATTTTGAGAACCATTGTCTAGACGCCTGTCGACCATATATAGAGTTGTCCAACTTTCAAATTGGTTTACCTTCTGTGACAACATCAGCAAGTATATTCGAATACCCTAAAGGCAAATCCATAGAAATCTCCTCAAAAAGATCCCCATTCAGAAAAAATATTATTTACATCCAAATGGACAATGTACCACTTGTTAATGGCTGCAACAGCAAGTAATGTTTTGACAGTGACCAGCTTAGCAACAGGAGAAAAGGTTTCAATTAAATCCACCCCTTCTTAATAAGTATAACCTTTGATCACTAGACGTTCTTTATACTTTTCTATACTTCCACTAGGTCCATATTTGACCTTATATACCCATCTACAATCAATTGAATGCTTTTCCTTGGGTAGACTAGTTACAGTCCAGGTGCTATTTGATTCCATAGATGCCAATTCAGTAATCATTGCTTTCTTCCAGTGATCAAATGTAACAACTTGGTGGTAAAATTGTGGTTCTATATTTGAAGAAACATTGAGAAGAAATGTTATGTGTGAATGAGAAAATGATTCATATGAGAGATATTTGGTCAAGGGATAAACTGAATTGTTAACAAGAGGCAGTTGATTTGCTAGGAGATTACAGTGGAATTCACACAGATAAGATGGAGGTTTACTCACCCAGTTGATCTCCTAGGAACAGAGTATGAAGGTTGATTGCAATCAAGACGTTGAGGGCATTGAGTATAATCAGAGGAAGAATTGAAAGAAGGTTCAGTGAGTGGTGATTTAGTATGTTCAGTTGAAGTATCATTGTTGGCAGAAGTAGAAGAATATGAGGCAGGATGATGGACATACAAATCAGATGTGACATTTGGTAAAACAACATCAGGAAAGTGATCTATCAAGTCTGAGGTAGAGGCTATAGTGGAAATGAAATTGTTTTTCATGAAAAATTACATCCCTGGAAATAAGAAAGGATTTTGAGGATATATCATAAAGTTTGTATCCTTTGATACCTGAAGGATAACCAAGAAAGACACAAGCCTTAACTCTAGGATATAATTTGTTTCTATGAGAGGGGAGTGTAGATACGAAGCAAAGGCTTCCAAACACCCTAAGTGCATTGTAGTCAAACGAAGTATCATACAGTAAAGAAAATAGGGTCATGTTCTTGAGTATTGGTGATGGCGTTCTATTAATTAGAAAAGTGGTTGTAAGAACAAAGTCACCCTAGAATTGAATGGGCACTCTTGACTGAAAATATAGTGCTCGTGCCACATTAAGAAGATGTTGACGTTTCCTTTCAATCACACAATACTGTTCAGGCTGTTCGACACAAGAAAAATGATGAACAATGGCCTTAGCATCAAATAGTCATGTGAACTTTAGCTCTTGAGCATTATTAGATCTAAATGTCTTGATAACTTTGTGAAATTTAGGTATAAAAACTTTGCATATGATTTTTGTTTCATCAAATAGATCCAAGTAAATCTTGTACAATCATCTACCAAAGTAACGAAAAACTTATGGCCAGCATATGTAGGGGTATGATATGGTCCCCAGATATCGTAATGTACCAAATCAAAAGCATTTTTTGATAGATGATTATTCGATACAAATGAAAGCCTCCTTTGTTTGCCAAAGGGCAAATAGAACAAGGAATTAAATTATCTCGTTTATAACGAGTACAATCAATGTGCAACAAGTTTTCAACAAATCTAGTTTATGATACGATAAATGCCCAAGTCTATCATGCCAAACTTGACTAGTTAAACTATTTGATATTGAGTATAAAGATTGACAAACATTATCATGAACTGATGAACTGGAGTCAACAACATAGAGGTTTGCCTTCCTTTCACCCCTTCCATTCATCCTCAATGTGATCAAGTCGTGAACCATGCAAAAATTAGTGAGGAACTTGACACATAATGAAGTATTCCTTGTTAGAGCACTTACTGACAAGATGTTCTCTATTACAGAACATCATTAAGCATCAATTCATGTGTGATTTTCACATTTCCAATCGATTGTACAGGGACTTGTACATGTTTTGGTAGTGTAACCATAAGCATTTTTAATTGGCCTCAATGTGTAAATTGTTGATTGATCAGAACATATATGACTTGTAGCACATGAATCTACCACCCAATGTTTAGATGAACTAAAGGCTGGAGTAATAGAGATTGAGAAGCAGGTACGTGAATCCTTACCTAATTGGCCCCTATCTCCGAATCCAATTTTACAGCCTTGTGATGAGTCTTCAACATTTTCATTAGATTTTGATACTATGTGGGGTTGAGTGTCTGCATAAAACTATCAACACTTCCATCACTGTCCTATTTCTGATCCATGACAACAACATGTTTAGAAATCTGATTATCCATGGCTTGATTGTTTAGATCAGCTAGCACATTCATTCCAGATTTTTGTCTAGGTTTGTACCTCAGTGGATAGCCATGAAGCTTGTAACACTTATCAATAGCATGACCATTATATCTACATTAAGTACATATTGGTCTCTTTCTTTTGAAGCCTATTATTGCTGTCCCACAGCCTTTCTAGCTTCATTTTGACTCATCCTTTTAGAATTATTTTGAGCAGAAAACGCCATTGAACCAGTTTTCCTTGATGCATCATTTGTCATACTAATTTTCCTTTGGTTTTCTTCCTGCGCAACCAACACAAACACTTTGTTGAGGGGGTCGGGGGGTGGGGCGAATAGGATCCATTAACAGTATTTGTCCCCTAGTTTGTGCAAATGATTCATGTAGTCCCATTAAAAAGGACATGACATACTGCATTTGGTGATGCTCAAGCAGTCTCTTATTTTCCCTACAGACACATTTACCACATGAACAAGTGGGCTTATAATTGCTAAGCTATTCCCAAATTGTCTTCAATTTGGTAAAATAGGTACTGACAGAAGAATTTCCTTGCGTATGATTCATTAGTTCTCGCTCTAGTTGAAAAATCTGCAGACCATTCCTTTGCCGATATCATTCCTTCAAATATGTCCATGTTTCATAAGCTGACTCAGAATAAAGCACACTGGCCGAAATCTCATTAGACACAGAATTAAGGATCCATGAATTGAGCAGCTCTGGAAAAATTGTTCCGTCAATAAACCCCAGCTTATTCTTCACAGATAAAGCAATCACCATTGACCTGCTTCAGGAAGCATAGTTATCTCCAATCTGTGACTGTGAAACAACGATCATACTAGAATTATCTGAGTGATGCAGAAAATATGGATTAGATCCATCACCAGTTGCTAAATTGCTCACTGATGATATAGAACTACATGACGCCTCATTATCCATAGCCAAACTGGTAAGGTAATCTTGCTGAAATGTCAATCAAATGAATCTAATGGGAATCATTGATTATCAGAATCAACGATGGTAAGCAGAGACTAGTGCTCTAATACCATATTGAAGAAAAGAAGAATTTGGAAATGAAAGATTATTCTCATTCAATCGATCAAATCTAATTACAATGGTGACTTTAAATAGAACTCGCGAACTGTTTTCAACAAACAAAACTAACTAACTTGACAGTTGTATATAACTACTTCCTAACTAACATTGGCGCCAAGTTTAGCTGGAGCTGAGCTCGTTTAACTGTTGTCACTTGAGCTAAGATGTATATTCTAATACTCTCTAATCTCACTTTCCTCCGCACTCTCAGCCTCGGCTTCAACCACCTTTCCGGCCCTATCCCCCGACCTCTCCCAACCATCTCAACTCCGCAATTTGTACCTTCAGGAGAATCATTTTTCCAGCCCTATACCAGAATTCTTGTTCTCTTTTCATAGTCTTCTGAGCTTGAATCTTGCGTAAAACAATTTTTTCGGCAAAATCCCATCTAGTTTTAACAATTTGACGCGATTAAGGACTCTTTATTTGGAGAATAATAGGTTTACTAGGTTTCTGTCGGAGCTTGATCTCCCGAATATTGAACAATTCAATGTGTCTTTTAATAGTTTAAATGGGTCTATGCCGAAAGGGCTAGAAGGAAAGCCTAAAGGTGCTTTTTTGGGGAATTCTCTGTGTGGAAAGCCTCTTGATAATGCTTGTGTTAATAGTGGTAAAACTTATTTTGGGAATCCAAAGGATGTTGAGATTGCAGGGAAAAGTAGCGAAAATGGATTGTGTGGAGGTGCAATTGCTAGGATTGTAATTGGATCTGTTGTTGGGTTAATTTTATTGTCGTTTGTGTTGTTTATACTAAGAAAGCGTAGTCGGAACAAGGCGAGGCCTGTTGATGTGCTGGAGATTATCTAGAAACTGAGGTGGGTGAAAATCCAGTTGTGGAGGCAGAGAATAGTGGAAGTGGTGATGGGATTCGGGCTGCTATAATGACATCGAATGGGAATGAAAATTGGGAAAATGGAACAAATGCGGATGTCAAGAAACTGGTGTTTTTTAGGAACACTTTGCGGGCGTTTGATTTGGAGGAGTTGTTGAAAGCATCGGCCAAGGTTTCGGGGAAAGGAACATTCGGAACTGCCTACAAAGCAGTTTTGGAAGTGGGACTGTGGTGGCTATGAAGAGGTTGAAGTGTGTGACTATTTTAGAGAAAGAGTTCAAGGAAAAAATGGAATGGGTTGGGGACATGAATCATAAGAATTTAGTACCTCTTAGGGCTTATTACTATAGCAGGGAGGAGAAGCTTCTTGTCTATGATTATATTCTAATGAAAAGCTTGTCTATACTTCTTCGTGCTGAGTGACGTTTTCAACTTCTCATGCGGCTGTCATTTTACATTGTTCTATTTTGTTACATGTTGACCTCAAAAAATGCACTAACAAGATCCATTCCACCTCCCCTCCACGTAGACATCACCTGCACACTGGGACACCCCGTTAGAGGGCAAAGGCCACTGGTCGATAAAAAAGTCCGTCAATTGTTTGCACTCCCATATTCAAGTCAACAGTTGGATGAAAGAAAAATGAGTGCAAGAGACAAGAGAGGAAACCCAAGACGAGGTTGCTTGATTAAATAAGTCCAATCTGAGCATGCCACATAATTTATAGGTATAATAATAGCCCTCCAAGTCCGAGTCATACATTCATGTGTGGGTCGAACTTCGAAATATAAGCTATCAAGTAGATGAGGTCTTACAGATTTCTTCCGAAATATGAATAGCTCCAATAAACGAGCGCTTACAAACTGCTTCAAAAATATTCACCGATCCTAAATATGTGAGGACTTACGAATTGCCTCAAAAAATCTGTGCGAGTCTAAATAAGCGAGAGCTTACAAATTGCCTCGAAAGATGTCGCACATAATTTGTCAACATTTCAGCTGCATCTCCTCTGTGATATGGACTAAACCAACTTGTAATACACTAGAATATATTCACTACACATATACAAAATAAATTTTAGGTCCATTTGCCCCTCAAATTACTCATAATGATAAAGTGAATAATGACATATCAAATTTCTTCGAGATAGAATATATAGAGATCTTATCATGTATCACAGTAGATCATATGATATCAATAATAAAATGATAATATAGATAACGTTACATACGTACTTGTTGTAATGAAAATAGTGTCAAAACATGTTATCAATGATGTGGCATGTGTACTTGGCAGCAATAATATAATGCATATGTTAGCAATAATAATGTAATAATGTTAAGATACAAGTATGACAATAGTCCCTCAAGTTCAGGTATGAATATTCATATCATGTGTGGACTTTGAAGATAAGTAGTTGAGATGGAGCTGACGTAGAGGCAGACTCTAAATATATAAATAGTTGTACTAATACTAATGTTGAGGCGAGACTCTAAATGTAAGTAGTAGAGGCGATGCTCTGGATATACTTAGCTGATAAGTTGACATTGTTGCATGGAGGTAGCGCATCCATGTTAAGGGCTTCCTCCATGGTATTTAATCCAGCCATAGACGGCTTCATCTTCATAGGTATTAAGGTGGGCACATCCATCTCCTTATGAAGAGGTAATAAATGACATCCTTGCATGGTGGATAGTTCATCCATGTCAAGGGTTTCCTACATTGTGAATGGTTTATCGATGCAAGGGATAATATAAGCTCTCTGATGATATGGGTAAAGCTGTGATATAGCTAAAGCAGAAGAAATGCTCTGAAAGATAGGCCGCTGCAATGTAGCCAAAGCAGGGGCATTATGGGCTCTCTGCCGTAGTTTCGCAAGCAAGATATCTCTAATATCGAAAAATAAACATCGTGTTAGTGGCTCGTCCCAAATTATTAAAGACTTATAAGTTGACCTCAGGTGGAAAAGTTCTTGTAGCTGCACTCGATGATAGTGAGGGGTGAGGAGTAAACAACTCGCAAAGTAATGAATAAACATTTGGCGAGGAAAAGAATAAGCATCCAACAAGTAGCTCTCGAGCTATCGGAGAATAAGTTGGCCTCGGATAGACGAGGTCTTACAGTTAAGCTTGATGATAGTAAGGCCAAAAATAAGCATCTCACGAAACCAAGAATAAGCTATGGCTAAATGGGGAATAAACACCCCCGCGAATGCTTTCGAACTATCGGAGTCCTATAAGCTAGCCTCGAAATGACGAGGTTTTATAGTTAGGCTCGACGATAGTGAGAGGAGAGGAATGAGCATCTCGTGAAGCTACAAATAAGCATTTACCGAGGCAGGGAATAAACATCCGGTAAATAGCTCTTGAACTATTGGAAACTTACAAACTGGCCTCGAAATGGCGAAGTGAACATCTCGTGAAGTCAGGAATAAGCATTTGACAAAGTGGGAATAAACATCATGTGAAATGAGGAATAAACATCTCGTAAAGCTAAGAATAATGTATGGTGAAGCGTGGAATAAACATCCCTCGAGATGAGAAAAAACATCTCGCAAAACTAGGAATAAGCATCTAACGAAGTCAAGCAATAAACATCCCGCAATGCGAAAGATGACAAATAAACATCTCTCGAATTATCGGAGACTTATAAGCGGACTCAGATAAACAAGGTCTTACAACTAGGCTCAACAGAGGCGAGGAAAAAAAATCTTGCGAAGCCAAGAATAAGGACCTGTTGAAGTGGGGAATAAACATCCCGCGAATAGCTCTCAAACTATTGGAGTTTTATAAGAGGCCTCAAGTAGACAATGTCTTACAATTAGGCTCGACGATAGTGAGAAGCGAGAAATAGACATCTTATGAATAGCTCTCGATCTATTGAAGACTTATAAGCGGCTTCAGATGGAAGAGGTCTTATAGTTAGGCTCAAAAATAGTGAAAGGTGAGGAATAATCTCGAACTATCGGAGACCTATAAGCAGCCTCGGATAGACGAGATCTTACAACTAGGCTCAACAATAGTGAGTGGCGAGGAAAAGCATCTCTCGAAACCAAGAATAAGCATCGGTGAGGCAGGGAATAAACATATTGTGAATAAGCTTTAATGTTAGGCTTAACAGTCTTAAGCATATTAAGTAACTTAAGGAGTGTGCACTCAAGCGTATTCATATCAATATATATAATAAACCGTGAATAGCTTTTTAGTAGATATTGCATAACCAAGTTAATAATTTGTTTACAGTTCATGACTGAACTCAATTGAGACCACTTCTCATTGTAGTAAACATCTTCAGTACATGAGCACCAACTAAAGATCCTTCCGCCTTTATACACATGGTTGTTCATCATTCAACACCTTGAGATGAAAAATCAATGTGTTAGCATTTATACCCTTATGTTGCTTTTGTAACTTAGGTGAGATAGTTGCAAGCATCACACATGTTACAGTACTATCGTTCTCACCGTGTTTATTATAGTAGCCACATCTTCCTTAGTCGAGTCATCAGTAGGTGTCTCTGAAATGGCTACATAAGGATACAACCAATTTTTTCATGCCTGAGAGCAATTCTCAGATTGCGGTGTTAACCAAGAAAATTTGGATTTCTCTTTTTTGTGTGTGCGCTCTAGCTTGTGTTCACATTTTTTGAAACCCTAATAGATTATTAATATAAGTCCTAGTGGATTTGGCCTATTGACAAGCAACCCAATTAATTGATTGTCCAACACTTGTTAATTAACTAATTGGTGAATCTCATTCTTCTACCTTTTATGTGTAACTCATTAGGTTCCTGATCAGTATGTACGTGATTTACTATTTGATCTAATCAAAGTCAATAAATTAAAATACGCCTTTCTAATTTATCATCAATTTACAGCTGTCGTCCCAGATTGACATCTAGCAATCTGTTAGGACAATAAATGCGACAAAAAAATATCACGTGGTATGACGAAACTAAACTTGTACGTTTACCGCGAAACTATACTCATTTCATCAATCAATTACGAGATATGGATATGTATTAATCTCAATTATCGATCATATCTTTCATCCGACTATTAAGTCAATGTAATTTGAAAACTCTTTCTCAACTTACGAGTAGATCATAATCTCATACTATTTGAGAGTGACGAATTCTCTATTGATCATTCACAACGTTCATATGATTCTGACATACTCGAATGATGCTGTATTAGCGACCCTTGACAGAGCAACAACTAACATCACCAAAGTACGACAGTCCTCATATAAAGCACCATGATGACCTCAAGTTGAAAAATCAATTCCACTACCGAACGTTAAAGATTGAACACTGACACTCCGATAGTTATTCATGTGAAATCTCGCTAGTGAGTCTCCAATGTTTTGTTCTATAACAAAACATCAACACAAATAAGTACACCACACTAGAGCTTGTGAGATCAGCAACTTACTTTACAAGTAAGAAATGTCATACGTGATGATCTATCCGTAATAACGATATATGTAGATCATTATTATTTACGACAACGGATGATTTAAGATTCAATCAAATGTAATTTGTATCTCACAATCACAATTCTTTATAATTAACAAATTATCAAGACTTGAATCTACGGATTCTATTATTTAATATATTAGAATATTAATTAAAATTAAATAATAGATCTGCCATAAATGAAATGCATCAATTATTTATTAAAAATGTTTATATTCAAAATTGATTGGACTTATGGCATAACACTTGCATAACAATGAATGTGTCACGCTACTAGCACTTTAACCTTATTTAGAGCTCTCTTTCAAAGGAACGGTGTAGAACTCGGCTTTGAAAATAAGTTGCAACGGAAGAATGCTTTTATTTTAGTTGGGTAATAACATATCAAAACATGGTGACACTGCCATAAAAGAGAGATGGTATCACCCTAAAATATGGTGGTAATGACTTGAATTGAATTAAAAGATGGCATTAATCCCAAATAATTTATGTTAGCGCCTTACAAAATAATTGTTGTATCATTTAGAAGAGTTTATGCAGTGAGTGATATTACCTTAAATACTAGTAATACCACCTTGCGAAAAAAATATAAGTTATATAGCAGGCGATAACACCTAAAAATACGGTAAGAATATTTTTGGCAAAAATACTCCTAAAATAGTGTTCAAATTGCATAAGGCAAAATTCGTGATAACTTAAAAAGAATTAAAAATGACCAAGTTTCTTTTATTGATATTACCAAAAATAGTGCACATGGAATTTACA